TAGGGAAAATAGTTACTAACAAAATTTTCCTCCTCCCTAAATATCTACATCAGGACCAAAGTTTACTGTTAAGAATACATACATCGATTACACAAAATACAACAGAACACACACCAGTAAGGTACATCATCTGCGCATCAAAACTCCCGACTCTGCAAAAGCTTTCTTTATAGGATACTTATTCCTTTCCCGTAACTACAGTTGTCGTAAATAACGTTTACTATTTCATCGGATGCAAAATTACAATACATGGCAGAAAGCTGTAATACAAACAGCCAAAACAAGAATTGTTAAGTTCGCTTAGCTATTACTATAGGTCATGAGAATATGTCCCATTCCTATCTAATGAGAATATGCAACAAATTTAAAAAAGGAAAGAGACAGGTTTTTATAGTCATCTACATGTTTCAAATTCATCTTTGCCATTTGGCCACTCATCAACTTCCATCCCATAGCTATAAGAACCTTTACTTAAAACTTTTACAGTGTATGCCACTTTTTAATCCTAATTTAAATATGTTCTTTTAGGTAGATCACTCTGAAGCTGAAAATATTTTGAAGTATCCAAACAACTAGCAACTATTAAGTCTTCACAGCTAGAACTCACCAACAGAAAACCAGAAGTGATCACTCCACAGAAGTTCCCACACACATAAACTGAATACAATGTAATGTCTATGTCATTTCCCAGAAACACGCATTGGTAGCATCTGTACCATCAGTTCCATGAGCACTGATGCACTCACCATTCTTACCTTATCCTTTTCATGTGGAAGGAGTGACACTGGAGGTAAACAGGAAAGAGACTCACAACTCTCTTTCCCATCCCCGTTGGCGGCGGCTTTAGTGTTGAGCCGATAAAGAGGTCCATCTTTATGGAGTCTGCCATGGCCAACGGCGCGTTTGATAGCCAATCGTAACTGCTGGTGAAAGCCAGAGGCTGCACTGCCTCCAAATAATGCAGACACATCCTTCTGACCTTTCAAAAAGCGTTCGATACTTTTCAAAGTAGAGCCACCGGACTCCGCCAAGCCCTCAACTGCCCGTTTGATGAGTTTATTCTAATCCACATTTTGTTTATTATCCAATTTCCCATGATTTCGAGGTTTGGGAAGTGCTATTCGCCCAGGATTATCAGGATCTTTATAGGAATTGAGTCCTTTATTTGAGACTTTTAAAATTGTTCCATCTTTAACACTCAACTCCAATTGTTCTAAAACAGTTTTCCGATCCAAGCCATGGGATGAAGACACTGCATTACAGATCCTTTCTTCTGAAGGACGCTGTTTCTGCTTCTTCACTTTTTTGATGGCCTCCAAAATCCACTCAGTATACAGCGGGTTAGCGAGTTTTACCATGGTGAAGGATTCTGTATATCCATAGAGTCGTTATCCCTTATCCTGATGCTGAGTAAATTTCACACCATGGAAAACAAGATTCTCGGAGGCTGGGAACCAGTTAACCATAGCATACAAGTTTTCTGGCCTGAGTCCTCCTTCCTTTCACAAAATAAAATGCCCCACCACTTTTAAAAACCAAAAGAACCTGTTATTTGAAATGTCTTCAAACTTCCCAATAAACTTCTCGATAGCACCACACACGGGTCTCTTCAGAAACTTGTAAGGACTCAAGAACATCTCACTCCCAGCTTCAGAGCAGAAACATGGGCATTTTATGCCTGAAAATCAATGAAAAACAAGGTTACTTTTCCATCATGGCCCATCCTGTAAATAAGCTATAATTGAAACATTCTAATCTTTTAAAGTAAACAGCATGTGTTTATTGGAGACCCTAAGAGTTTTAACACATTTCTATTAACATTCCAAAGCAATCATGTATGTAAACTGTCAGAAAGACATGTAAGTCTCTTACTTAAGAAAGAGAAGAAAGGCAGAAAAAAATGAGTAATTAGGATACCATGAGGAAACAAGATGAGATGTTCTGTGAATGACCTTAGGCTACCACTAACCAGAAGAGTACTGGCTATTCTGTACTCCGCAATCTCTGCTCACCAGTCTGAGTTTCAACTCTTGCTTGACATCTTTCCCCAAGAAACTATTCAGCACTTCAACAAGTATCTGGATTAGCAGAAAGAATCCTGCAATGAAAGTAAGAGTGAATCTCATCTTTCAATATTCAGACATTCAATGTGGATAAAAACAATTAAGACAGGCAAAAAAGACACCCAGAAAATGTTATTTTATATATTTAAGCAACAAATACAATTTACACACACCAACTTCATAACTTAATATAACTCTGAACTTTCCAAAAGGAAACAAAAATAACATTGCAAAATGTGCCAGTGTGAAAGTGCATAGAAATTGTAAGATAATTCAGTTTTAAGAATGACATGCTAGTAGCTACTCCTCACCCAAATTAAGATACTAACATCCATAAAGCAGAGGAATTCCAATCGTCCACAAATAGAGAAGCTGCAGAAGGGGAGGGCCCAGACTCACTAGGGTTAAATGCACAAACTACACATCCAGGTGTAATTCAGAAGAAAATGAGTAGATTGGCCATTTGCGGGTCTGCAGTCCGTTTAATAGAGAGAAATTCTAGAGTGGTGTCCTGAAATGAGCATTAAGGAGTAAGTCACAAACAGGTGGATGGATGGCCTCTCTGGATCAAAGTCAATATTCTTTCATTCGAAAGGACCTGGCAGATACAGTATCTCTTAAATCACTAAAATAAGAAATTCTGTAACTACATAACTTCTTTGCCTCCAAATATAAGTGTTAACTTTTCTTCAGTGATTGTTTTTAGTACTTCTGCTCTTATTCTGGGGATCATTTACATGACAATATAAACAATGCTTGAATAATAGCTCCTACAGCAATTATTCTTACGAGGGACACTCAGATCAAAAAGAAAATTCAGAGATATTAGGGGAGAGGCTGTACTGTTAATTCTGATAGGAAAAGAAAAGGCTGAAGCAAACACTCAAACGCGAGTTAAGATGTATTTTAAATGGACTGCTTAAAAAGAAGGCCCCTGGGAGAGCGAGGCTTCGTTTTGGGGAGGGTCTCGGGACGACAGAGATCCGAGTATCGTAGCTCCAACAAGTTCACCACGTAGACTAGACATGAACGCTAAGGAAATGAGAAGCCACAACCGGCTTCCGAAGCTAGGATCGTCCTCACCGATAAAGCCCGCAGGTGCAGGAATGAATGACAGGTCCGCCCTGCCCGGCCGGCCGGGGTTCCCAGCCGGCTCCAGGACTCCGATCCGGGAGGGAAGACGACCGGCCCCCAAGCCCACGGGCGGCTGCCAAGAAGGCGCACTGGCTGCCGACAGTCCTGCCCCGTCCGCGTCCCCACCCCCAAACACATCTTCGCGCTCTCTTTTTAAACGGCGAGAAACTTTACAAACTTGAACCGGCACGAGCGCGGCTCGCCCGCGGGC